CACTCAGTAAATATTCGAGGATCTATTATAATGTAACAAGCTCCATTCTAGGCAGTAAACAAGACAGACAAACGTTCTGCTTTTAAGGAGCTTATATTCCAGTTGGGGGAGACAGATAGTCAATGAATAAACTGGAAAATATCAGAGGATGACTCAGGGCTGTGAAAAAAGATACATCTTTGATATGATCAGGAGTCACTGGGAGCTCAGGGGAGGCTCCCTTGAGAAGGTGACATGTAGGCTAAGGATTTGTGTGACAGGAAGCAAGCTCCTGAAGGGTCTGGAGGAGGAAAAGCTTTGCAGATAGGGAGCAGCAAGTGACAAGGCCCTGGGGTGAGTTGGTGGGCTTAAAGGAAAGAAGGAAGGTCAGCCAGGTGTGGTGATTACGCCTGTAATCCCAACATTTTGGGAGGCTGAGGCAGGCAGATCACAAGGTCAGGAGTTCGAGATCAGTCTGGCCAACATAGTGAAACCTCGTATCTACTAAAAATACAAAAATTAGCCAGGTGTGGTGGCATGTGCCTTAGTCCCAGCCACTCAGCAGGCTGAGGCAGGAGAATCGCTTGAACCCAGGAAGCAGAGGTTGCAGTGAGCTGAGACCACACCACTGCACTTCATCCTGGATGACAGAGCAAGACTCTATCTCCATAAAGGAAGGTCTGTGCATCAGGAGATGAGAGATAGGGCAGGGTAAAGGTGGGTGAGGTGGAGAGAGGTGGGCTGTGCGGGGGTATGGGAGGGAGTTGCAGGCAATTAGAAAGAATTTGGATTCTAAGAGTAATAGGGAGCCATTGAGGTTTACCGGAGGGGAGTGAAGGTCTGCTCCATGGTTATAAAAGATCCGTTGTTCTAGTCAAATGGGTTATTGAGGAGCTAGAAGGGAGTGAGAGAGACCAGCTGGGAGGCTGCTGCAGCTGTCCAGGTGTGAGACGATGGTATCTGGGACTGGGTCACAGCAGTGCTGATGAACACAATTGATGGATTCCAGGAATGTGCACAGAGGTAGCGTGGATGGGTCTTACTGTGGGGTGGGAGGGAAGGAGATTTGTCAAGGATGACTCTGTTTAAGAAAAATAAACCGTGGGCTACCAGAATCACTAAGCAAAGGGAAAGGTCACACTGGCAAACCTGCCTCCCATTTTATTCCAAAATAAGATCGCTACGGAGATCAAAAAGCGATATGCCTCTCTCACAGTTTGCCCACAAGGAAATTCCCTGTGGGCCTCAAGATCTTTCCCCTAAAACAGTTCTGTTGAATTTCACCCTGGCAACGTAAAGGGATAGCTCATCTTCACAGATGCGGGAGGGAAAGTCATCCCTCTGCTCACTAGAAACAAATGCATATCTGATTGCTTCCTCTGCCCTATTTTTGTAAAAATGCAGATTCACAGTGCCAGACTGAATTCAAAAGAATGCAACCTTTTGTCATCTACCTGCCCCTTGCTTGGAGTTGTCCCCCTTTCGGGACTGAACCAATGGACATCTTACACATGCTGATTGATGTCTCATGTCTCCCTAAAATGCATAAAGGCAACGTGTATCCTGATCACCTGGGGCACATGTTGTCAGCACCTCCTGAGGCCGGGTCACAGGCACGTCCTTAACCTTGGCAAAATACACGTTATAAATTGGTTAAGACCTGTCTCAGATGTTGGGGCTCACAACTCTTAGGCTTTGGTCCCATGCAGTGGAGTGGAATGCAGTGCTATGTATGGAGCTGGGAAATCTTGCGAGCTGGGTGGGGGTCCAGGTGTGATGGTAGAAGGGTCAGCCCAGGGCGTTGGTCCAGGGTGCAGTGTGTCTTCCTCCAGATACCTCTAAGATTTAGCAAAAATGTCATCTCCCAGAAACCCTTCTGACCAGCCAGACATGCTGTGTGTCTGTGTGTGGACAATACTTTGCAGGCTTTATGAGTTGTCTGCTACCTATTTTTTTTTTTTTTTTTTGAGACGGAGTCTCACTCTGTTACTCAGGGTGGGGTGCAGTGATGCCATCTCAGCTCACTGCACCCTCCACCTGCTGGGTTCAAGCAATTCTTCTGCCTCAGCTGAGTAGCTGAGATTATAGGTGCCCACCACCATGCCCAGCTAATTTTTGTATTTTTAGTAGAGACGGGGTTTCACCATGGTGGCCATGCTGGTCTCGAACTCCTGACCTTATGATCCGCCCGCATCTGCCTCCCAGACTGCTGGGATTACAAGCTTGAGCCACTGCGCTGGCTTGTTTACCTAATTTTGCTGTGAGCTCGGCAGGAATGGGGAACTTGTCTGTTTTGTTTCCTGCTGTGTCTCCAAGTACCTGACACTCAGTAGTGCTTTGTGCAACTCAATGGGATTCTTACAGAAGGAATCGGTGGAGGGGAGGGGTTTCCCTCGAGCAGTACATTTTGAACACTGGGAGGGGTAGGGAGGGACTGAAAGAAAGGAAAGAGGCCAGCACGCAAGTTGGCAGGAAGAGCCATGACGTAGAAAAAGATCCAAACATGGGCTTAAGTGATCTGGGCTCAAACCCTAGCTCTGTTTCTTTCTGCTGTGTGACCTTGGCCAACCTACTTTGCCTCTCTGAGCCTCAGTTTTGCCACCAATTAAAAGAGAATCGTGATAGCTGCTTTGCAAGGTTGCCCTGGTGGATAAATGAGACAACAGAGGTGCAAGATCTCAGAAGGTGCCTGGGGGAAAAGTACGTATGTGCCTGAATTAGAATCTGAAAGGTCTGAGCAAAGCTGGCTCCACGCAGCCTCCCCTAATCATGCCACCTGGGTCTTCTCTGGTCACAATCACTGACAGAGAGAGGGCTTT